TGGTGTGAAGAATTCGGGTAACTAGTGTTGCATTCCGTGGGGCAACGAACCTGAATCGGGACGTAAATACTTCGCGTGCTTTCGCTAACTTTTTCGGAGAAGGTTTCTCGAGAGCCGTGTCGAGCGGGGGCGGTCGTAGAAATGTAGCAAATGACCCTCGAAACTCAACAGATTCGAATTCCGTCGCGCCAGCGAGCTCGTCGAAGGCGACGCTGGCGTCTTCAAGTTTGGAGCTTCGCCCCTTATACAATTGACGGTGTGCTTCTTATTCAGTTGCCAAGCCGGGACGACTGCTTCTAATTATTCGGGTAGAATGAAGACGTAGACGGAACGGAAGTCTCTACTACCTATCGTCCGAATCGCGTAGAGTTCATTCGAAAAGCGTTCGAGGGAAAAGCCGAGCAAGGATCGTCAAAGCCTCCGCAATCCTGATGAGGACCACGATGACCGTATCGTCATGGAGATTGGTCCCGATCTCAGAAAAACAGGAATGCCACCAAGTCGATTTCCCTCGTCTTGAAGAATCGAACATCTGAGCGGCCCTTGACCGCGGAAGATGCAGGATACCCAGGTCGCGCCTAATGCGCAAGCCCTAATGCGGCACGCGGGACAAAGTGTCCGCCACTTAAGGTTTTCGACAACACGAAGACACGAGTGTGTACATATCTCGTAACATCTGGCCACTCGTTTCGGCATTATCGGATTGCCAACAATTCCGGCGGATCATGTGTGCTCTGGACTTCGCGATCAGGTGAAATGGTCTGTGTTCGGTCCGTGATGATCGGAATCCAAGCAAGCGCAACGAGATAATCAGCTTCTCACCCATGAGGTAGACCCGAAATTCTCGGTTGTTGTTCGTCAGAGAGGGAGCTGAAGAAACTCAGCTGCTGCATTTGCGAAAGTCTTCGGTGATCTTGCGGGAGTTTTCAAAATACTTAATGTTGTAGCGGTTACACGCGCGCGATCCAGAGGCTCGAGAGCTTGTTCTCTTTTGCTCATCTCGGCCCGATACGCAAGGCTCTCTATTGGATTTACTCAGCCGCTCCCAAACCGCTCTCGCGGCTGAGGATGTCGTGCTGCGAGTTTGCCGTCGGACATCGAGGACCATCCACCGCTAGAAAGCCCCAGAAAATTCTCCTTGGAAATCATTTCCCTTCACGGGTTGAGGGAGTTTACGTCAGAATCCTTCGGACGGCGCGGGCGCTGTAAGTCACTCAATCGGTGCTACGCGAATACCGCTGAATCCATTGCTCCCAGATAAAGCCAATCGGAACGTGTAGGTCATCTCTGGAGTTCCGTGAGCACGAACACCTGCTATGCCGGCCGACTGCGTATTTTCGGAAGAGTTCGGAACGGAATGTGTGTAGATGCATCCCATCCATGACGATCTTGAATGCCTCGATAAGTGCTCCCGAAACTTGAATGCGTGCCATTCTCTCAGAATGACTGCGACTGAAGATCTCACTTCGTAATAATAATGCTTCGGTTACAGCATTGGTTCAAATGCATCGAATTGACTTGCCGCAAGACGACGGGATCTGACTTGCGATTCGTATCGACTGTCGTAGGTGGCGGAGTGCCGTCGACGCAGGTATTGATCCCATCACAGAACAAAGTCAGTGGAGCGGAGAAACACGTCTAATGATCCAAGAATGTTAATTTGAGAATGGTTGGCATTTCGGATGGTTATGACCCGACTCCCCGAATCGCATCTCCCCGGATCGCATCGGGTGCGGTCTCTTCGCCTTGATGTTTCTGAAAACCTGGAGCTCACGCTGTGTCCTCTGATTCCAGAGAGCATATTTCTCTCCGCCTGAACTATCAGCTGCCCATTCATACAGACGTACACCTGCGGAAGTTCACCAAAATATTTGGGGATTCGGAGCTGGAGAGCTTTGCGGAGGTATCCGGCTCGGGTTGACGCAAAGGGGCATTCGCTTCCCGTCCGCGAGATTCCGTATCGAACAAAGGTACCGTCGACGAACCGCTTCTCGTGTGCCTTGATTCACGACCAGAGCGGATCAGAAGGAAAAACTAAATGATATTTGACTGAGAACAAGGGCCCTATTCTATCTCTCTGAACTGATGAGGACACGGAACAGACATATCCAAACCCTTCCGCCAGTCAAGCAGCTCGACTGTCACCAAGAAAGGCAGTCATTGAGTCAAAACGACGCGCGGTCAAGGTTTCCCAGAATATTATGGAAATCAGAACTCTTCTCGGATGAATACTCTGACGTCGGCCGTAACAACGATTTCCTTTTAATAAACGTATCGTGAAGAATTTGGTCCCTTGCGAAACTTGGATCGTGGCGTTTTTTACCCTGTTATTTTTCCGCGTTTTGCGCAACATCGCTGTTGGAGATATTTCCACTACTGTAGATTGTGGAACGAGTGGACATCGAGCGCCGCGGTGATATGAACGCGCACACACACACACTTACACATCCGAAAAAGGTACCTGATTTTAGCTCTCGAATGGAGGAGCCGTCCAATCGATCGACTTCCGAATGCGTTTGGATTCCTCGCAGTGACGAAGCATTCCGTTTCGCCATGGCTCTCTACGTGGCGATGAAGAAAGATGGGGCTCCCCTCTATCGCGATTCTTGAGGAACATCGGGGCTCACCGAGTATACTCGCTCAGTCTGCGAAGTATTTCTTGAAATACTTCAGAACAAAAGCCCCATCTCACTCAATCAGTCAGTCAGTCAGAGTACAACTGTGAAGTCGTCGACGTGTCGGAGCGCCGAAGCCCGATAAGGGATCGAAACAGTGATTAGTCACGCAAGTTTTGCTCGGATCGATCTAGATATGAGACATGATGGATCCTGACAAGAGCTGTCATTCATTCAAAGTCGTACACTCAGCATGATAGCGCGGTTCGTGGTGGCTGAGATCGGAGTGATGGCTTATTCAGTGTAGTACTGGAATCGGAACGATTCGATCACAGCTATCGAGGGGCTCATCATCTCCTGAATTTTCTCTATATATCTCAGACAACATCTGTCCCCATGGAATCAGAAACTTGTCCAGAACTTGAACCAGATCTTCGGCCATTGACCACCATCCCGGTTCGATTAATTTTTGATGCCATCGGCGACGGCATCGGCAGCTCGATACCCGGCCATGGTGGTGATTCAGCCATCGGCGGTGCTTCTACGAGCTGACTGACGGTCTAGTAGCTCCGGTGGTCGCTCTGGTGGCGGTTTTTTTCGACTGCGATCGAAAAAAGCCAGCGCGGGCGTCGATGGTTCTGTGAGTTGGCGGCCCGTGCATCAAAGCACCTTCATCCATTGAGTCTCACACACGCGGCGCCAGATCTGTCTGTCTGTGCTCGTTGTTGTCGTTGCTCTCATCGTCATTCGAAGGTTCTTCCATTCGACTTGACAGGAATCGAGCAGATCGACGATTTCGCTGTTTACCGTAGAAAACTTCGAGCTTAAGATCTTTCCGAAAACACCCGCACCGAATAAGAAGATGATTCTTCTAACGGAGCTACCATATCCACAACGCCGACGGCCGTTTTCGAGACGGTCCGGCAAAACCACGTGTCACGGCATGCTGCCGAGCCCAGATCCGCGCTGAGGGAGAATACGTCTCCGTAATCACGTCTGAATTAGAGCGAAATTTCCATGATTGTCTCAGGCAACGCGTGCTTGGCTCCTTCTCTTTGGGACTGACCTCTCGTTTGTCCCTCCCGCGAGAGCAAAGTTTTCCCTGACTGTTTCTCCATCGACCCCCTCTGTGCAGCCGGTCGGAAGACTAGAATCGTGAAATTAGCGTAAAACCTACAACGTGGATTCGCGATTCGCCCGCTCGTACCTTCCTTGAGAGAAGCTAGAGCCATCTGGCAGGCACGATGCTGTAGACATTCGACCATGCCTCCTTCTCTTCTTTTTCGTCTTTTAGCAGAGGAGTGTTGGAGGAGTTGTTGTTGTTGCTGCTGCCTGCCGGTGGTGGTGGTGGTGTCGGTGGTGATGGCGGATGGAGATGGTGGTAGTAGCGAGCGTGGTGCGCTGGTGGCGATGATGCTCCATACCGGCACCAACACACACGGCCCGACCGACCGATTGGCCGGCCGGCGGCTCGGCGAGCGACAGTCAAAGCTCGCGGCCGATCGCTAAAGCACCGTCGTTCATTCAGCTTCTCCCACACTGCTCGCAGCGCCCCCAAAGGAAGTGACGTCGACGACGAGCCGCGCGCTCATTGGTCGTTGGTCCCTTCACTAAACGATGTTACTGTGGCCTTATCATGTATTCCGTTAAGAGCAGCGGTAGAGAAAGGTAGCCGCCGCACGCAGCCGGCGAAGCCTCCATACGAACAGCCGCTACAGAGACAGAAACGGCAGAGACGTTCGTCGTGATCTCGGATGAACGAGTCGAGTTTCTGTTCTTGAGCCTACGGAACCTAGATTCTGCCTGTTGCGCCCAGACCGTGTCCACATAGACGGCTATCCACGCGACGTCAACTTCGCGCTACGAACGACCGAAACGAAAACGAATCAACGAGTAGGACTCGAGTTCCGTGTTTGTGTTTATCTGTGTGTGAGTGTGACATGTAGTACGTAGTCTCTCCGTGTCCACGTATCGTGCTCATCCAACGTGTTGTCGTTCATCAACTCCGGACTATAGCTCTCAGCACTTCTGCGTTCAGTACATGCCTGCTTGAGTCCGTACGTCTCTTCAGCCACCTGTGGATGGTCTGCTGATTCACGTGCTTCTCAGAAAATAGCTCGAAAACTGCTTGGATGTGTTTTGACGCTCCAACACAATCGCCACGACCATTCTCTCAACTGCGCTCACTACGAGAACTGCTGTTATTGTCGCCACCGCCGCCATCGAGAGTGATCTTTCTACTGTCTGACAACACATCTCGTCTCCGGATACAGTGATGTTTCTACGGGCGTCGTGCGTGCATACGTGATAATGTGCCTACTCCTATAATACCCTGGCTATCGCTACCGAACATCGGAACATTCAACAGGTTGATCGAGAGAGAACATGTCTCATAATAGTTTTTCGAGTCCCGCGAGTTCTGGCCCGGGACGGCCGGGTATGGCCATCACGTTGAGTCAACCACGTCCGGGAGCTGCTCGGCGACAAAACGAATACCTCGACAGCCCATTGAGAGCTCCTCCGCCCTTGCCGGCTACGTCGCCTTTAGGTTCTCCGGCGAGTTTCGGTTTACCATCGGCTATTTTGGAAGCGCCGAAAAAAGGTTCGTCGTCCGGCGCTCTCCTCAAGGCTCCACCTCGAACACCGATCGACGACCTCTGCAAAAAGCAGAACGCGGTCAACCTCAATGAATCGACGACGACAGCGAGCTCGATCGTCTGCCGAGACTGTGGCAAGTGCCGATGCGAAGCTTGCCAGGAACCCAAAGCGCTACCCTCAAGATGGATTTGCAACGATAAATTCCACTGTTCGGCACACAACATCGTCGAGCACGTCACCTGCTTGTGTTGCGCTCAGGCCGTCTTCTATCATTACGCGAAAGACACCGACCTAGATTCGGACGTCTCGTGCGCGGACAAGCCATGCTCATGCGGACCTGAACATTTCTGGTCCCGTTGGGGATGCCTAGCCATGATGAGTGCCATCTTACCCTGTCTGTGTTGCTATCCTCCATTGAAAGGCTGTGTTAACGTTTGTGAGAGCGCCTACGGAAGATGGACCTCGCGTTGCGGATGCCATTGCGAGTACAAGAACCCCAACAAGCTGCTGTCATCAACGTAATGCACAAACTCGATCATATCAAATCATGAAGCCCAGCAGGATTTCTAATCTGCGACCGGCGACTCCCTTCGGAAGCAGCAACTTTGCTGCCGCCGCCGCCGCCGCTTCCACAGCATCCTCTTCGACTCCTTCCGTCCACCAGATGCGATCGCGTACTTTCCGAAAACAGGAAAAACTATATTTGGGATTTTCTGTTGCCTGTCCAGATGTACAAAGCAGCATTTCGCCATCCGTGTTGTTGTTGTTGCATTCTGGAGCAGCCGAGTTGTGAAGCCTCCATTCAGTTTCACCAACAATTCAACAGTCATCCGACCGGAAGACAGACAGACAGCGATGATGATGATCACTCCATCCCTAGACCACGACGACAAGCCTGGCGACCATCATCGAAGTCATCGATAGCAATCGTTCCTGATGTCATTGTTGCGGTCGTCGAAATTCCGTCCGATCTACGCTGCATTCATGACTGGAATTTTGTGGAAATCGTCCGTATCTCGCATGATGCATTGAACGCGATTCCGTCTGCCAGCCCGGAGGGACAGACGAACACCACCGCGCACATACATAGCCAAGTTGGCTTGCTATAGACGAAGACCCTCTTCGGCATTCGCCGTGGCGACTGCTGCCGCAGCTACTGCGAACGGCCAGAACCGGTAACCGAAGAGAAGTCGGCGATGCTCGTTCTTCCGTCCGTTCGGTTGCTCGGCGGGCGCTGCCAAGCCCTTCTTGTTCATTCGATGAAGTGGCCTTTTTCGAGAAAAAGCTACCGCCGAAGCGAAATCCCCGGCCTATCGATGCTTCGCGAACAGCACCGCTCACTTTCCGTACGCCAAAGCCGACTGCATTCGCTGCTTGAGATCCGAGGAGCTTCATTCAATTCCCTGTTCAAGAACATCTGTAGTACCAACAATCGTACGAGATACTAGCAGCACTAGCAGCCCCTGCATCGGAGCTCTTCCATTCAAAATTATTCGGCGAACTCGACCACGGATGATGAGCGAACCTCGATAGTTTGTTCAGGTTTCATCGTCTGATCTATAAAGCTCTTGTCTGACAGTGAGTGAATGCTCAGCGACCGTAGCCCCGGCAGCACAAGCGAAATGCTGCTTGGTGTTGGTGGATAGATCTTCTCACTCACACATCGACATAGACAGAGCTTAGAATCACTCGTTCGCCTTCTGGCTGGAGCTGCTGCTGCTGCTTCTACCGCTCGTGGTGTTGGCGATCGTTCTTCTCTATTTTGGGGCTCCCAAACAGAGCCCGGTTCTGTAGCAGAATTATCATGCGCTCCCAAACTCCCCTGGCAGACCTTTTCGGCATGAAAATCTTCAGATTACGCTCTTGATTGGCGCTGTATGAATAGGTCGTTGCGCGGCCCATACTTTTCTCATACTCGGAGCTCCTCTAGAACGAACTCTCCGGGGTCGAGATCTGACTGACCAACCGCGCAGAACCGGCTTCAGTACAGGGAGCAGCCTCGCGGCAGTCTGCGAGAGCCACAGCCTGAACCGAGGCAGGCGGGCAGACGCACGGTGGATGCATGGTAGAACGAATGGAGAGGAAGCGAGCAAACATCTTCGAGCTATCGATATACGCCATCGCCGTGAATTGATCGCACGTAAGAGCGATCGAAACTCGGATTTTCCGAGGGCGACGGAGTCTAGGATTGTCAGTCGACACTGTCGACATGGGGAGTCGAGAGGAGAGGCTGGTCATAATCAAAACGCGAAAGCAGACAACCTGCTGGAAATGCTCTGTCGCGAGTTTTAGTCATTGAGGGAATGAAAGCTGTTGTGTAAGGTGTAAGAAATGTAGACTGAGAATCCTTCGTCGACTCGAACGATTGACACAGACCCGCGAAACTTTCGTGACAAATTCTCGTACTCTTACTTGATTGGTCTTCCACGGAATTTCGGAGTGGTGATAATCCTGAACTCCAAGCTCGGGAGAGTCAGTCGCGAGCTGGAGCATGCGAGGTAATGATTTCCAACGAGCTCTCGTTACGTTCCAAATGTTTATCCGTAACGGAGTGCACAGTCAATCTGTTCTTGGCGGTGAATGGCACGCTCTGTTGAAATGTATATAAGCTGATTGATTGATGGGCGGATGAACGCGCGAGTGATTCATCGATTGATTCCACGCTCGACCACGCGCTCGTTCTATTCCTGACCGAGCCTTGGAGGAGCACGACGCGGAGTCATTCGATAATTTGCCTAGGGTGTGTATTGTACAGATGTCTTGTATAGTTAGATGGTCGTGAGAGACGAACTTGAAATTTCTATTAAGTTAAGACGCTCGGATCCTCTTTTTGTACAGATTTGCAAACGCTGATTAAGTTGTGCGAGATGTTTATGTAGACAGACCCAAGCAGCCTTCCTCGATCGGGAAAGAAGCGAAGAAAATCAACGGTATTGATGATAATTCTAGCGATAAATTAGAACGAATATTTTGTTATCGCGGCGATAAGTGACCAAAGCTTGCAGAAGGAGCAACTGGATCGTGACTTGGAAATGAAAGAGCGAATGAACAAAAACAGCATCGAGGAAGCAAACAATTGAAGGATTGAATCCGCGGAATTGAAAAGTGTACAGAACGGGAGGGAAATTCCGTTTCCAAATTGGCTTCGAGGAGCGCCGGACACGAAGTCACCGTCTGGCGTCGCGTGTGTTCGTGCGCATGCGATCGAGTGAAGAAGATGTAATTTATTAAAATAATAATAATATTTATTTTGAACCAAAAATGATTACGAGTCGAGGAATAAATGACGGAGAAACACATGTCACATAAAAGGACTACCATCATTCCTCATTTGATAGGTATCTTCGTTTGATACATCTTTTCAACCCCTTGACGACGAGTCAGTTTCCGAGAAGCTGGTGAACTCTCCGATGCAGCTCAGTCCACCTCATTTCTCTTTCTACCCGCTCACGATATCTCCAGTGTTCTCGATTCTTTCCTGGAGCCTGGAGCGCGTCCGCATCGACTTCTCTTGGGTTCACCTCCGCCGAGGCTCACATGGGTGCAGGAAGCGCTTTCGAAGGGGACGGCGACGACATGGATGGAGAGGAGGGCAGGAAAATAGGCTGGACGAAGGTTTTCAGGCTGAGGATTGAAAGATCTCTGGGCTCAAAGTCGATTGTCTCCGGAGCGCGGGACGCGTCTTTTGAAACAGGAAGAGTTAGCGAATGTCTCTGGCGAAAGGGAAGAGAGGCCATGTGGTAGACACATGTAGAAGCTCGAGTAGAACAGAGAAACAATGACGGGATCTCTTGACGGAAGATAAAAAATGAAGAAAAAGAAAAGAAGTACTGGAAAGAACGAAACTATTGAGCTTATTTGGCAGTGCCAACAAATGTCGCCGCCGCGCCAATCGGCGGAAGGTTCGCGAACTTCCGAATCTTTTCTCCGGCAAGACTCGATCCTCGACTGAAGCTTCCGAAGATCGAATTCCGAAAGGGTCGCGATGATATTTGATCTTTTCGCCTCGGTACGTGGCCCGTATGGTTCGAGTTCGCCCCCCTCCCCCTGTTTACTCTCGGCATGCTTTCCCTTTCCAGGCGCGCATTCCATTGTCTCCCGAGATAGGCTTGTTTTTCTAAGACGAGATTATTTTTCCCCTTTTCTTGTTGGGAGTTCACGGGAGAGTGTCAGAAGCTGCTCGGAAAGGAGTTCACTCAGGCGAAGATCTGAAGGGCTTGAGCACGGAGTACGATTTCCCCCAAGACATTTTCTTCCCGATATTATCCTCACAAAGAGACAGATGACTTATGGTCATGCCGCGAGTGGGACGACCTTGCTTGGTTTCCATTGAGATGATATATCATCGCCGGACTAGCTTTGTCCTCCCAAGCGAGAGGTGGCGCGGAGATTCTCGAGCTCATCGGATCAAGATGATCTTCTGGAGATGAGCCGGATTAAAGGACCCGGGAATAGATCAAGGCAGTCCGGCTCGCTTATTTCTGCATAAATAGTCTCTTCGGAGATAGGTGCCGAATGAGATGGCGGCAGTGGGAAGGTCGTTGGAGAAAACGTATCGGTGTGAATTTCTCCGAATTTAGCTCGATTATGAGCACTCTTATCTGGAGCTGCCCCTCCGAAAGAGTGATTGACAGCCAGCGAAGGAAGGAGTGACCGAATGATTGTAGGTTCTGACATATAATATTTTTTTTCACTTGGCGGTCGCGCGCAACGATCAACGACTTCGTTACAGTTCGTCGGAACTGTACTCGGAGATCAGCCGCGCTAGCTCCTCTCACCCAACCGTCAACCGGATGAGATATTGCGATTCTTGATACTTTAGCGTGACGGAGAGGAGCTTCGCTTTCTCGAGAAGTCTCTGTAGCCTCGAGAAGTCTCTGTAGCATCGAGAAACGTCTGGACGCGTGCTTCCATAATCATCAGGGAAAATCGCGGGCTCCCATCCATATGCATACCCGAACGATGGATTCAAATAACCACAATGAGAGAGGTGACTGCGTCCTCGGCACAGAGGATTTCAGCTCATTGTCAGTAAGGCAGATCCGATCCCGGTGTCTCCCGCTATTGTCTCGGCCTACGGTGAGTCGGTTCCCATTGAGAATAGTTTTCTGTGACTTGTCGTTGACAATTGTTTGCAGCTCTGAATGGAGAAGCGCGGAGAGAAAATGCGTAATAGCATGGAAACAGCTGAACTGACGACGTCTCGTTCGTCGCAGGCGTTTTCAGGCGGCGGATTCCTACGCAAGCCGCCGTCGGCTAGACAGGCTCGTCGCGTTCTAGAAATGCGATCAATGGATCGAAGAAGCGGTGCCGTCGTTGCGATTCTCGTCGCCGGAGAGATCGACGACTGATCCACTGGAGTACTGGCGTGTTGGCGTGCTGGCTGTCATTTTAAGCCAAATGACAACGTTATGGCCCTTCTTGTCTGATTCTGCTGCTGCTGCGTCTAGTGACGTTGGTTGTGGTTGCTTCTTTGGCATCGGTTCTTCTACCTCCTTTTTTCTCTTCTCCGTAGTTGCCGT